AAAAATCATTTTTTCGGTTGAAAAGTAATCGTACGGAACGTTGTCGGTCTCAATGCAGCTGCCGTAAGCCTGTCGTACGATCGATACATTGTCAGTGCAGCCCCCTGCGATTTTTGTTCATCCATGTGACCAGAATAAGGAAACGCACAACTTCAAATTCATGCAAGTGTATTACACTGAAATTCAAGCATGTTGACCATTGTTATGACCCAAAACAGCAAAGATGGAAGGGAAAGAGACCAACAACTATTTCAACCATTGTCACGATCACTGCAAGGTGCCATCTTCGATAATGAGACGGGGCTACGAGCTTTCGATTTTAAAATTTTGTAAAAAGTTTTAGCTTGACAAAATCACAAAGGCGACGGGGGCCGTGTATCTTTCACTGTGTAGAATAGTCGGTACCCTCTTTGCTTTATATAAATTTAATAATATCATGAAATAAATAACCTGAAAGCGAAAGCGAGTGTTTATGCACTTGCAGGTGAATGGTAATACATGTACCTACAGCTGTTTGACCATATACTTAGTTAAAAAATACAATTTCTTTCTCACACAAATTACGAACAGGTAGCCTTCAAAGTCATTTTGATTGAACAGTCGTTGGATCAAGTCCCGTAACTCGAAAGCATCGCAAGTTAATATTTCATCGTATATTTGTTTCGAGTCTAAAATCCATAAAATGTTCAATAGACTGTACAACATAAATACAAAGGAAGTTTATAGATAAAAATGATGAAGATGTATTTTATATAAATCAGAGCTAGACTAAATTGTAATAAACAGTAATCAAAAGTTAAAAAAAAAATCCAGGGTTTCTTTAATGTAATATTTTCAAATTCATGAATAAAATGTCTTAAATGTTGCGAATAGCAATATCGCATAGAGGCTACGATGTATTATATGGTGCGAGTAAGGGCGAGTTATGGAATCGAGACGCTTGCGCTCGGTCGATACGAGCCCTGGACTACTTTTAGCGTTTCAGCTTATATAAAAAGTTCCAGTTTTCGAGAAAATCACTGTCAAAATACTGGCGTGTGATAGTTGTCTATCTTTTCGTTGAATTGTTAGCATGGTGGTATGGACAGATTGGGACCCGTTTTTATGTCAGGTGTTAACAGCAGCGTTTTGAAATCTGACACATTAGTTTTCTTTCTAATTCTGTGCGTTCGTTGTCCGGCCGAGGAATTGACGTACTTTGGTCCAGCAGTGATGATGTGGATGTCGCGTTCGTTTACTGTCCTGCGCACTTCTCCTAGTTATTTTTCTTGGTGGAGTATTGAATGACGTCATCCTTCCTTGAAGTGCTGCGTAAGTGTGATCCGGCTGAAATAAACGTGTGGACAAAAAATGACATATTTTTGCAAGACGGAAGGTGGTTCATGGCAACTTTCTACCAAATGACATAAAAACCCAAATAGTCAGAAATCCAACAATTGGACAGTGAGTAAATCGCCAGACGAATGCAACCTTTTGGATATGCAATACAGAGTGAGATACCGTTTTTAAACTAAACAAAACTTTTTATCTACTACCTGGTTGGTATTATTAGCTTACTTATATATGGTTTTCTTCTAGCACGACGTATTCATTGTTGCTTTCCATAACATCCACTTCAAGCGTGTCGCCAAATTGTCTATCATTCCGAAATCTATGCACCATGCTCCTCTACAAACGAAAAATATCAATGATATATCCATTGCATAACAAAATGTACACACAAGTCTGAAAAACTCTTGCTTCAATTCTGTATCTTGAATACATTTTAAAAGATCGTGTAGATAAATCTCAATAACTTTTGCACCATCATGAAATAACTCATGTATTTTCTTACCAGAAAATTAAAGTAGAATAAAAAATATAACTGTACTTTTTTCTACTTACATGATACAGGACAAATAAAGCAACCGCGACTCCAAATGTTATCACCACTGCTGCCACAACTGCACCAGTCAACACGCCTTAGAGATACAAAATTTTGAAATAAAAAGGCAGATTGACGCAAAACAACATCAAATTGAACAACACAACGAAAAGAACATTTTGCATCTATGTACTCCAAATACGTTTTAAAATATTTAATCCACTATATTTGGGGTCAAAGCTTAAACATATTTCCATTCAGCCCCGCCAATTACCTGTGCTATGTAGAACCTCGCCTCCTGTAAGTGTGTCAGTTGTTGACGATGCTACTGCTACTGGTGTCGTTGATATTGTTGTTGATGTTGTGGTAGTTTTCTCTATCAAGCATAGGACAACAAGAAATTGGATCAATTGGCTGTAAGTTAAATAAAACAAACGACTTCCATTTTTGACTAAGTCATGTTAGTCCCTAAATTATCACATTTGCACTTTAAAAAGGAAAGGAAATTTCAGCACTTTTCCCTTAATAAAAATGGTATGTTCTGCCCGAAACGGTTTAGACAATTGTTACCATGCTCAAACCGTATTCTGATTTCTAAATTTCTAGGCTTACATAGGGTCCATGGATTTCACTCGTTTCACGTTTTTTTTAGTTGTGGAACATTTCATGGTGTGATAAAGGTATGAGCACCTTGGTGACAGGGAAGACCTTGCCTGGATGTCTGGTAACAATGCTTATTTTGCTCTGCTTTGTGTTTTATCTCTCAATGCAACAGATGGAGATAGCAGCACTACGGGTCCCTTGGAACTCTGTTTATCAAGTAACCCCTTCTTAAACACAAATACCAATAAAAAACCTGGAGATATTTCATAAAGCGTTACCAACTTTTCCATGATTTGAATTTTGATATAACACCTACCCTGTACTGTCACTGTGACACCTGCTGACAATGGTGTTGTCGTCAAACTGTTGGTGGCAAAGCAAGTATACAAATAATTTCCAGTAGTGGACAGTGTCAGCACAAGCTGAGAGCCAGTAGAGTTGGTATTATCTGGACTGGTCCACACAAAGCTTGGACTTGGATTGCCGCTTGCCTGACAGTTGAGAGTAAAAGTTGCCCCCTGCTCAACTGTCCATGTACCAGTGGATGATGTCACCGTTGGCACCTCTGGCACTGGGTCTGAGATATAATGAACAAAATATTCCAGATAATTAAACATTCAAATGAAAATGACTTTATGTTTTACCACATAACATAGCATAACATGTACACTATCACTGAAACTATTTATACAGAGGCATGGAATATGCTACAAACAATCAAAAATAACATTATTCTTGTTTCTCAACTCAAAGATGAAAGATATGAAAAACATTGTGTGATACAAATTTCTTCTGTCAAAGTCTATCTGGGTAACATCAATGAACTAATTAAATGCGATTTAAAACTTAATGGTTATTAATAAAATTGGCACTTTTTATCCGGTGACACTTTTTACATAAATTTAAAGACATGAAATACTTACATCGTACATCCAGTGTATACCTTCCTTGCTTTGAGGAGTCTCCAATCACTGTAGAGTTTGGTTCAACAGCACAGTTAAACATAACTCCATCATCCAGGGATGTTGGTGTAATACTCAGAATACTAACTCCATTATAGGTACAACCATCACTATTGATATTTGTCTGCTGAGTAAATCCAGTGGTGATTTCTTGGTCGGCTTTGTACCACTTCATGATGCCTGGTGGTCGCCCAATATTACTGGCTGTACAAGTCAGAAAGGCATTCTGATCTGCTTGTATCTGACTTGGTGAGGATGTGATTGTGATTTTATATCCCAGGAAATCTAGAAAAGTAATAATCGTCGCACAAATCTTGCAAATTTGAGAATGAGATGAACTATAATGACTTCTTTCAATTATTCATTCAGTTTTCACGAAAAAGGCGTCAACCATTCAATATACCGTAACTAAATTTATTAAAACTTGATAACTAATTTTCGAAATATGACATAAATATATAATTATCCAAATATATAAGTAACTAAACAGCCTATCTTGTATGTGTGTAGAACATTATTTTATGCGAAAGAACTACATGAAAACGTCTTTATTATTCCACTTACCAAAGAGACTGACGTTGAAACTTGCTGTTCCAATATCGTCTACTATTGAAGTTGTAAGCACCTCACATGAATACTCTGCAATATCACCTGGACACTGTAATCCTGTTAATGTTATTGATGTACTGGTACTTGTGGGGGTGAGAGTGGCCAGTGCCACGCGGTCTTTTATACTGGTGTCATGATACAGTGGTGTATAGCTAGGTATTATGGCAGTTACTATTACTGTAGAGCCTTGTCTCCACTTTACTCTAAGAAGTACAAGCCCAGCTGGTGGTGTCCACTGACATGTCAACGTAGGTTGTGATCCTGCTTGAACATGTCTGTCCAGATTTTGTGACGTCAAAAGAAAGTACTGCAAGTGAAATAATTTTTTAAAACCTGGACAAAATAGGTGCATGACAATAGCCCGAACAATCAAAAAATGTTTACATTCGACATAAAATCTAAGTAAACGTAACCTCGGATTAAAGGACATGGACTAGTGAAAGGTGGATCAGGTTTTAATTAAGTGCAAATGATCGGACCGCCTTTTACTATTCATAAGAAATCCAACAAAATAAATGTGGTTTACGTTTGATAGGCTAGGGCCTAACTTCATACTGCAGGGATGTGGAAAATCCGATGATTACTAGAAAACCAAGGGTCGATATTACAAAAGAATAATTCCGGCAAATACTGATACTAATGTTAAAGATTAGGTCAATTGTCTGAAAAACAGCTGCATCTTTTATTTTACAAAACAAGCCCAATATTTCAGGTCATTGAATTGAGTTGCCTTGGGAAAGGTCTCCCCTCCTGGGAGCGTCTCTTGTTCATCTTATGTTAAAGTAAACTGAAAGAGTCGAATTTAAATTTAACACCAACTTTCTTTAGTAAAACAGGTCTCAAGTGTAACAACTAGTATTAGTAACCTGTTGTGAATTGTTTCATCCTTTGTTAAAATCTGTTTTAACTAAAAAACCCGCCACAGACCATCGTAGTGGTCGTGGATGGGACTAATTCCCTGTTAAACGGGTGGCAGCACGGAGTGAACGGGACATAAACAAGGGCGTTCCGCGCACCAACTTAGTAATTTTGATTAAAAGGCGGATCTCAGATTTTGAAGTAGTGGCCATGGCCATGGTTTGTTTCAAGCACAGCTGACGTATCCAGTCCTTGTATTGCACGTAAATCTTACCTTGGTGGCAGCAAACCAGGTAAACCCACAGTGCCCGCACAATATTATGTAGTTTGTCGCCCATTTTGAACGCTGCGTGTAAACTGACCTCAACTTTGTCCCCGAGTTGCATTACTTCCGTGTTTAACCATTTACTTGACATAAGGGGGCCAAATTTAACCTTGAGCTTATAACGTTGTGACTCTTGCTGTAGAAAAATTAGGGCAGTGAAACCGTGACAGTGAACTGCCTTGATATCAACATAAAAAGTTCACAATACGCCAAATTCACAATACGCCTCACGTTCAAAAATCAGCTGGAATGGATATTTTAATTTTCGCTGAATCATGCCCTTCTTTGTGAGTCTTTGCCTTTACACAAATTGGCACATTTTAAAAGGCGGTTTTTATGTCCTGTTTTAAATTTGCTGTAATGGAAGCCAGCCGAGATAACCAAAACAATATTCCTTCTTCCATACTTAGTATGAAGTTATTTGACGAGGCGTGCATATCCTGTTGTCTTTGATGTTTTGTTTGCATGCAAAATTTTGGATCAGAACATTCAAGTACAAAAATGTCATAATAGAATCAAGNGAACGGGAACAGTCCTGCACGCTAATGGCCCATAGACAGTCCTGCAGGGCCCCGTATCTCGAAAGCATTGCTTATTGAGAATAGCTATATATATCACATAGAGGCTACTATATATTATATGGGGCGAGTATGGCGAGTTATTGGATCGAGATGCTTGCGCTCGGTCGCAATGCGTGATACTTTCGAATTACGGTTTTACAAAAAATGTTGCCGCTCGACTAATTGCAAATTGAAGTCACCTTTCCATGGCTCCCAATTTGTTCTCTTTCGTTTGGTTCTGTCGTAATCTTTGTTATTTTTATTTCTTTCCTCAATTGTTTTTCTTTTGTGAACTTCTCTATCGGACTTGATAGAATTTTTTCATTTTTGACAGCCCAAGATGAAAGCACGTGGGAAAAGAACTACATCTGACGCACGACGTAAACTAGTACGTTCACTCATAATTTTGGGATTCAAATTTTTTGTAAAATTCTCCTTTAATTTGCTTCAGTTGCCTTTATTACTGTTGATTATAAGCACTTCATATATCTATAAGTCTATTTAATCAATATCATAACTTTTTATACTTTCACATTTTTATTACTCTCAACCTACAAATTGCTACTCGCGGTATCTCCTCTACACAAAACAATGACATAACGTTATCTGCTGTGCACTGAAGCTGGTTAAGAACAATGTGCCTCGTTTCAAATTGTCTTTCAACTTCATATCACACAGAAGAAACTTTGAAAACGAGGCCACTGAGAGGGAGACTGTTGGTTACATTTCGATACGAGCGTTCGTTTGCAAGCTATGGTTAGTTCTTTGCTTCTATGAAAGTGGGTGAAAATAGTGAGTTTATTTGATATTTTGCTGAAATCGCTTGTGAACATGGACAAAATTAAAGGTGAAAATAGGCTGTAAAAATAGCCAGCCCGTCGGGCAGGTAATTTGCAAATCTTACCTGCCCGGCCTAAAAGTTACCAGCCTCGGGCTGGCGGGCAGGCGGCCATTTCATACACTGCCAATATTTCCGGTCATTGAATTGAGTTGCCTTGGGAAAGGTCTCCCCTCCTGGGAGCGTCTCTTGTTCATCTTATGTTAAAGTAAACTGAAAGAGTCGAATTTAAATTTAACACCAACTTTCTTTCGTAAAACAGGTCTCAAGTGTAACAACTAGTATAAGTAACCTGTTGTGAATTGTTTCATCCTTTGTTAAAATCTGTTTTAACTAAAAAACCCGCCACAGACCATCGTAGTGGTCGTGGATGGGACTAATTCCCTGTTAAACGGGTGGCAGCACGGAGTGAACGGGACATAAACAAGGGCGTTCCGCGCACCAACTTAGTAATTTTGATTAAAAGGCGGATCTCATATTTTGAAGTAGTGGCCATGGCCATGGTTTGTTTCAAGCACAGCTGACGTATCCAGTCCTTGTATTGCACGTAAATCTTACCTTGGTGGCAGCAAACCAGGAAAACCCACAGTGCCCGCACAATATTATGTAGTTTGTCGCCCATTTTGAACGCTGCGTGTAAACTGACCTCAACTTTGTCCCCGAGTTGCATTACTTCCGTGTTTAACCATTTACATAACAACAGCGTGCTTGTTGAGAAAACACGATTTAACAAATTAAAATAATCTTTCATGTACTCTTTCATGAATAACATATTAAACAAAATTAAAGTTATAAATTAGTGGTAATGGCTTATTCTGGAATATATGACCTCTGCACATCATCAGTACCTGACTTGGTACAGTATAGTAACTACTTGGATACAGAGTTAGATTTATTAATGTAACAATTAGAACAATATATATATTACAATAAACTTCTCTGCACATGTCAGACGCTTGTTACCATGAACTAACACTACTTAACAATGGGCTGAGCACTTATCACAGAGTCTGTGTGCGTGCCATTGTTGTGCTGTGATTGGCTAGTTGAGTCACGTGAAGCCCTACTGTAGCGCCCTCGCGTATCGCGTGAATGCTGCGCATTTCTGGCCATGTAAATAACATTTGAATTAAATCCAATTCTGGCGTTTTTGAATTAGTGCCCCCCCCCCCTAAAAAAATTAATAAATAAACTAAAAAACAAACAATCTACCGAGTAAGTTTGTCGTTGAGCGTATATATATTATACAAATAAAACTTGACGTAGTCAGTAGTTCAACATTTTTCACCCTGTCCAATCTCCGCAGTGTTGACATACACGTCCTCTCTGACTTCTGATACATCCACATATAACTCTTCACTGGTTGCCAGTGGCTGCAAGATTTGTACAAGGTCTTCAAAACTGGGACGATCACTTGGTTCTGCCTGCCAACATTTCCGCATTATCGCGTACCTAAAATGTATTCATCGGTTCATTATATCTTTTAATGGTATTCAGTTGAAATAACACTTGTTTCATGATCATGTTTCACAAAGTCACATCATTGTGAAAGGACAAAAAGCATTCTGACACAAAAAGGCTATTCTGTGTTTGTTGTATGGCATAATATTTAAAATACAATATATCTTCATAATTTGTTTAATTGAGCAAAACATAAATTTCATTCATTGGTTCTACAAAACATGAGCTGTAAATGACTGACATTGTAGAACGGAAATAAATAAACAGAGACAAAAGATGGCCCTCACACTTCTTGTGTACAGTGGTCTGGTTTCCCCATACGATATCCACTGTGTAACATTCGTGCCAGATCTGCTCCCGAGATACCAGGATACGGAAGACACCCTGAATAAAAAAAAATATATATATATATACAGTTAATGGAAAATGAATTTAAACCCCAACATGTTGGGAATGGAAATTCCAAGGTCTGACAGAAATTGTTATTTACTTTTATGGGTGAAACGAGGAGTCTACAAAAAGACGACAAAATGTTGAATCTCTTCCCACAGTATCTGATATTTACGTACCCAAAGTTACAATCTCCCACAAGAGAACACCAAAGGACCACACGTCACCCTTTGTTGTATACAAATTGTCCATCAGCGACTCTGGTGCCATCCAGCGGACAGGAAGAAGACCCTAGTACAGCGAGTATTCATTATCTTTCAGCATCGCAAAATAATAAATCAAGTAAACAATTTTTGTCTCTGTAGTAAACCTTGCCCATTCTTTAAGTGAAGTGAACATGAATAAAGAAGAGCATGCCTGAGTATGTAAAGTGAATGTGACATCAAAATCTGAAACAAGCTAAGCGATTTTGGGATCATCCTGCTAATTTAAAAAATGTGTAAGATCGTTTTAAGTCAATTCCGTTGAAAAATATATATTTATCCACTTCACAAACAAAAAGCATAAACATTTTCAAATTATAATTATTTGGTTTATGGCATCAAATAAGCATTCAGATCACTGCTAATTCAGTGTGTTTCGTAAAGTCCCAATAATCTTTGGCAAATAGTCCCTTACTTACCCACGTGTACCGTATTTTGAAAACGGTGATGGGGGGAGGGGGTCCCCACCTTATTTCACCACTGGTTTCAATAAATAAATAAATTGGTACAATTACGGGCGTATGCATGTAAACTAGCACATAATATTCATTTTTTTTTTCATGTGAGCAAAGACAGTATTAGGAAGTTTACCATTGTATTGTACTCATGCTCCCTGCTCTGGCTGATGTCCTTGGAAAGGCCAAAGTCCGATATCTTACAGGTCAGCTGGTCATCTAACAAGACGGTCCTGGTGGCAAGGTCACGATGGAGTAACTGGTCAGTAGATTTATTGACTTTGTACAGGCATGCGGCACAATCCGTACCATACATTTACCCTAACTTCAATTAAGAACGTTACCAAATTCCAATGCAACAATCATATATTTATTCAAAAATGTTCTGTTTTCTTTTGCAATGTTGATCTTATAGGTAAACATGATAACTTGGACGACTTTAGCAAGTCCCTGGATTTTAAAATTTGTTTTTAATTTACAAAGAAAATTTGGACCGCCGCACAAGTGATCTTGATAGGAGATAAATCCTCTTCAACTGAGTAAAACTTCAAATTTTCTAAATAATTTCGACAATTTAAGGTTTTAATGTAAAATTTCTCATTACTGTTACCTTATGTTTTGCCACGTGTGTCATCCCGCTTGCCACCTGGTAGGCAAACCTCATCAGTTGTTGTGACGTCAGCGTATTGCTGAGTCCATGAAGGTTTGAGCATTGGCCACTGCCACGACTGTTCTTTAACAGCTGCTTAAGATTCCCATTGGACATAAACTCTAGGACCATGAATGAGGCACCTGAGTGTTAAAGAGTTTATACAGTTACAAATGACATGTTTTTGTCCCACTAAACGAAACTGCTTGCGATTTCAAAGATAGATCTGGAAATGCTGGCAGTCGACACAAAAAAATATAGAGCAAAAATGTTTGTTTTTTCTTTATGTGGGATTGGCGTAACTAGAATGACAAAGAAAATGGAAAACTCTGTCCCTGTCTCTCGTTTTCAATACCAACCATTCTGTTGAGAAGATCCATAAAACATCACAACGTGTGGGTGAGGAGGAAGTGTTTTCATTGTCTGTATTTCCTTCTCAAAGCTTGAAACGAGTTCATCTTTCTCTGAGGATTGGTCTGGAATAGAGAGCAATACATGGACTATGAAATAAATAGTAATAATCTAAGTATAAAGCACCAACATTCACGAAAATCCATAATTATAGCCTAGAAATCCTTCAATTAATATCTACAGTCTTACAAATAGAATAGCAAACAAATTCAGTTGATATAATTTAAATCTACATAAATGCATGAAGGTCTGCGGTAGGCTGTGATTCAAAGAAAATGTAGCCTTAGTAAAATGAAAACATCTAATTTGCGTTAAATGAAAGATTAAGAACAACACGAATTCAATTCAAACCTAACCTTTGAGACTTTTGACGGCCACCGTGCGTGCCTTCTTTCTAATAATTGCCTCTCCCTTCCAAACCTCGCTAAAACGTCCTTCTCCAATCTTTTCGTCCAGTCTTATCTTTCCTGGCGGTATGTCCAACGATGTCATCTTTCCTCGGAGTTCTGTGTAAGTTTCTTCCTGCTGAGATGAATATGGCAGTGAGCAAAGCGGCAGATGAATGAATTTTTGCCTGCACAATAAGATATGAGCATGACAGGAATTTGTAGTTAATTTTTTTTTTCTGTATTCCCAGATCTGTAAGATTTTATGAGCTTCTTATTTCTTCCACAGTGAAATGTCCCAAAAGGACCGTATATACACTGTACGAACCATAAGCCTCTGTCTAATGAAAACAAGAAGCAGCCTCTATTAACTACCTGGTTGGCATCATTACCTTACTTTTAACTTCTTTTATGTCTAGCAAGGCGTATTCGTTGTTGCTTTCCGTAACATCCACGTTAACTGTATCACCAGATTGTCTTTTCTTCCAAAATCTATGCAGAATGCCTCTCTACAAAAGGAAAAGTATTAATAACGATATTATGTCCAAGGTTTGACTTTCTCATCACAATATAATAACTTATGATTTTTTCTAACCAGGGTACTTATAAGTAACTGAAAAGTTTCATTAAAATATATGACTGTTACAATTTTTTTTCTACTCACACGAAACAAGACAAATAAAACAACCGCGGCTCCAAGTAATATTATCACTTCTGCGACAACTGTCCCAACTATCACACCTAGAGGATGCACAAGAATAAATAACAGAAATTAGTGACTTACAAAAACACAAAGGTCTATTAAAGCAAAACAAAGTTAGATTAAATTCAAAACGAGAAAAAATACAGCACCTTAAGTATTTAAAATTGTACCCATTGTATCATGGGCAATGTTTAAACACATACCTACATCTTCTGGACTATAATGAGCCTCCCCTCCTTTAAGTTTGCCTGCTCCGACTGCAACATGTACTGTTTTCGTTGATGTTGTCGTGGATGTTGTTGTTGATGATGATGTGGATGATTTCTCTATCGAGCATGGGGCAACAAGAAATTGGATCAATTGGCTATGTTTTATAAAACAAACGGCTTCCATTTTGACTAAATCATTTCAGTCATTAGGTCATTACATCTGCACGTTGAAAGGAAGGGAATTTCAGCACTTTTCCTTTAATCAAAAACGTACCTAGTTCCTGTCGACAACCGTTCAAAGAATCAATACCATGCACAAACCTTTTCTGAATTCTGAATTTCTAGACTTGGATGGGGACTAGTGTATTTTAGTCGTGACAATTTTTATTGGAATTTTCTAAATGTTTTTGGATGCGGTATACCTTGGTAATAAACTGCAATTCACAATGTACCCCTCTTGATTAATTTCTTTATTTTTTCTTTCTTCTTACTTTCATTCTTCCTTATCTTTTTTCTTTTTTAGTTAAATTAAGTGTTAAAATTGTTTCTTTTTAAAATATTTTTCGTCAAATGCAGTGGATGTTATGAACTCATTTTCACATCATTGTTACATTAAAATGTGGTGGAAAAAACACATGTATCACAAGGTAAAGTTCTGATGAAAGAAGGCTGATTTGAAGATTTTCTCCGTCTATTTTAATTCAAAAATTGATTATATATGTATATATATCAGTCATTCTTTGCTAGTGGTGCACTGCGGGGGGACCATAACAAGAATGTTATTTAAATTTAGATAGCCGACCAAATTCTCATGACATCGTTGTGTATGTTTCAATAACAAATCAAAGAAGCTGCATGAGCAAGGAGGATATTGCTATAAAAGCAAAAGAAGAGAAAAAGCAGAAAATATATCGAAATTACCCTCAAAATGGCGTCTTTTTTTGTGGAATTTTGACCCTACCTCTATTTAGGAACAGTTTGTTTAGGGTTTGAATGAATTATTGAAGCAGGGAATACACCTACTGCAAGAAGATATACTAAACAGAATGTGCAAATGGTTATTTAAATAAAAATTTATTTGAAGTCACTGAAAAATGATCACAAAATTAGCTTAACTTACGATACATGCGGTGTCCCACCCCGATGAAAATTTCATCTAATCCTATCTTTCCGTATTAAAACTGTTCAATCGTCCAAAGTAGTATTTCGGTTAGTTTGTGTCACGAAATCCATGATAATATCAGTTTTCTTAAGAATTTCACATTT